ATTAATATACATGAAATAGTGTCTCAGTTAAGTAAGATCAGCTGACCCACGTATTTGTTCTTTTTGTCTTTCTTATATTTATAGAACACTGCCATCTGTACGTGTACAAATATGGAATTTGCTTTAAGTTATTTTTAGTTTTTCGAAGAGGTAGACAATAAATTATAAATCTGCTGCCAAATCTTTGACATTTTGATTTGATTATTCAATGAATTCCGATGGACCATGGACATTTCTCATATATATTTTTTCTTATGCTTCTCAGGAGCCTAATTAAAATTATATAAATGGCGACATCTAGTGGTTTTATATATAACTAAAAGTCTGTTCAATGAATCGACTGCCTGTCACATATTGTTGTCAATTACATCCGAAAGATGGCGCTAAAAGAAAAACATCTGGATTGAACGAGGCCATAGAGGGCGTTTTTGGTCACTGTACCAAAANCATATATATTTTTTCTTATGCTTCTCAGGAGCCTAATTAAAATTATATAAATGGCGACATCTAGTGGTTTTATATATAACTAAAAGTCTGTTCAATGAATCGACTGCCTGTCACATATTGTTGTCAATTACATCCGAAAGATGGCGCTAAAAGAAAAACATCTGGATTGAACGAGGCCATAGAGGGCGTTTTTGGTCACTGTACCAAAAATTTTTTTTATTAAATACTAGCATTTGCCCGCGACTTCGTCCGCGTGGAATAGTTACTATGGCATAACCCTAAATTTTACCCGTCTCTTCATTTACGTAGGTAGTGAAAATATTTTTAAATAATAGAATGTTAATTTATGGTGCCAAAACCACGCTTTTTAACCGACTCCAAAAGAGGAAGTTCTCAATTCGACCATCATTTTTTATCTATGTATGTTCACCGTATTCTCGAGAATGCTTGAACCGATTCTGATAATTCTTTTTTCTTTATTTTGATCGAAAGGGTAGACTTCCCGAATGGTCCTGTAATCATCAATGATGGGATCCTGAAGAGATTCAGAAAAATCTATAATTTTCAAAGCCTTGTAATGAATAACTAATGTAATGAATGTAATGAATAACTAATAAATATTTGGATAAGGATTCATATCATCTTCACAAAAACACCTTCACAAATAGTGCTTTATTTTAAAACAAATTTGGTTACCATAAAAAACGTTATAGTGAGCCAACCTTAATATATAGACTGCTGTCGCGGACTTTTTTTTAGATCTTTTAAAGGGGAACAATTCTCTCATACATAATTTTAGCGTAATTTTAACCGTTTCCGCAGCGCACGCAGCGGAAGCTATCAAAAAGGAAATAAAACCCCGATTTAGCAACATTCTTTATTGGTGCTCCGTTACTATTGGTCTTAGCGTAATGTTATATAACATATACCTTTCCTCTATAAATGGGCTATCTAACACTGAAAGAATTATTCAAATCGGACCAGTAGTTCCTTAGATTAGCGCGTTCAAACAAACAAATTCTTCAGCTTTATAATATTAGTATAGATGACATTACATTGTAATGTTTAATTTTAACTATTTTATAGTTTGGCCGGCTTTTTTATGATCTCATTATTGTTTTCAATAAACAATATTTAATTTGTTTCAAATAAGATGCTTGTCGTGTTTTCAGTGAGTACTTATTGTAATTGTCAAAGTTGACCAATACCTGAAAGTGCTCATTATGTAGAAGATAATGATCAGTAGTACCGTTAATGAGATGCTATTGCTGTTATTACTGTGTAACTCGTTTTAATGTTCATATAATTAAGATTTTATCATGAAATGACATCAAGACACAAGTACTCATCGTCCGATGGCACACAGGACTAATAGCATCAATTTATTTCGATCGCGACCACCAGATATCCGTGCCGGAGTCGGAGAGCCACGCATTTTCTCAAAGTTCATTTGTGGGACAATGTTCACGCAAAAATCTCTCGTAAACTTTGATTTAGGGAAGACTCCGAGAGGCGGTGATCAGGAACACTCGAAATTCTTTAAAATATACTTTCTAGCGGTTCACTCAGTGACCGCCCTGGACTTCGGCTTCGATAGAAATGCTAAAAAGCTTACAAAAATATTGATATCGATGTTCAGCATTTCGGTGCGGATGGGTCTGGCCGCGGTGAGCTTCATGTCGCTGTGGGGACGGCCGAACGCCCTCGCGCTGGGCTGGGCTCCGGGCACGCTGCTGTGCGAGAACATCCTGGTCGCCGTCACGTACTCCGCGTCGCGCTCCACGTTCAAATGCGGGGATTTGTTCGCCGACTTGTCGACGATCGACGAGCTCTTTGGTTCCGCCTGCGACTACCGGATCGAGTCCAAAATGTTGCTGTTCACCGCGACCATGACGGTGCTCAGGGTCGTCATCTACAGCACCAGCAGGCTCGTCCGCGCCGACGGCTTCGATTTTGTCGACGTGTTAGAGGTTCTCAACAACTTAGAGACCATGTGCATGTATCTGTTCCTCACGGTTTACTTCTTCGTACTGTTTTCTATTTATTGTCGTTTCAAGAAATTAAGGGAGCTCATGAAGAATGACTTCGAGATAAGAAGAGCGAATCTGATCTACATTGCTCTGAAAGACTGCACCGATAAGATCAAACAGTCTTTGGATGTTCCGGTGAGGGCGCGTCCTTCGAGAAAGTCAAGCTCGAGGGAACAGCGAAACGAGTTCGTGCGTGACAATACCACTGTGTGTTCGCAGTTCCTGGTGGTGCTGGTGTTCACCGTCCTCGTGGTGATGGTCGACGTGTTCATCACCTTGGAAATGATAATAAGCAACAAGGTGAGCGCGTCACTGAACAGAAAGTACAATGCGCACATTTTTACTGGTGGTAGGACCTCTTGTGAGTCCGCACGGATAGGTACCACCGCCCTGCCTATTTCTGCCGTGAAGCAGTAATGCGTTTCTGTTTGAAGGGTGGGGCAGCCGTTGTAACTATACTGAGACCTTAGAACTTATATCTCAAGGTGGGTGGCGCATTTACGTTGTAGATGTCTATTGGCTCCAGTAATCACTTAACACCAGGTGGGCTGTGAGCTAGTCCACCCATCTAAGCAATAAAAAAAATGACATTGGTGCTGAGCGTGTAGCGTCCTCGATGTGTTAACAGTACAACATGGCTGTGTACGTGGTGCGGTACCTCGAGATAACTCTCGACTTTCTGATGTTGTTCGCGCCGGTGCTGCTGGCGGACATGATGGCGGTCCAGGTCGACGGCCTCAAGATTACTCTCCACGACCGGCTGTGTCTCAACAATGGCGTCGGTAACGAGCCCCGATACTTGTTCTGAAGCTCTAGAGCAGCGGTCGGGGAACTTTTTTAATTATGGCGACATAATAAACATAACAAAAAAAAGGAAATCGCTTCTTTTTAGCATCTTTCATATTATAGTCCCCATGATAGCGCTCGAACCCGCTTCGGCAAGCCAATCGCGGCACACGATGCCTACAATAAAATACCTGGGTCAATCACGTGAACTTTGTGTTTCCAAATAATGCGCTCTATCCCATTCTCTCGCCGGCTGAATCTTATACATTCATGTGTTTGTGTCTCTATGGACTTATTTTTTCGTTTCGTTTCATTTCGTTTCATCGAGTTTGAAATCACAACGATTCTAAAGAAGTTTCACTTCAATATATACTTTTTACTCACAAAAGTTTCATTTTTACCCCCCAAAATTTTATTTTACCCCATTTGGGGTAATTTACCCCGGTTTCCCGACCGTTGCTCTAGAGAATGCTCTAGAGGCACGCGATTCTGTTAGTTACCTAGTGGTTACCAGAGTCCACGGACATAACAACGCTAATGCTGCCCCGTACCGCGGTGCAACCTCCAACAGACTTCCACCTCTCAATCGTAATGGTTATACAGTTGTTGTTCCACTCTTTAAGCCGGAGTGCGTGACTGCTTTAAAATAGGAATTCCACCTGTATGAACTCACAATGCGTCCTTTAATGAACTCGGAGAGATCGGTTGAAAGGTTTCAGTTTTTTTTTATTGCTTAATACGGTGGACGAGCTTACAGCCCACTTGGTGTTACGTGGTTACTGGAGCCCATAGACATCTACAACGTAAATGCGCCACCCACTTTGAGATAGAAGTTCTAAGGTCTCAGTATAGTTACAACGGCTGCCCCACCCTTCAAACCGAAACGCATTACTGCTTCACGGCAGAAATGGGCAGGGCGGTGGTACCTACCCGTGCGGACTCACAAGAGGTCCTACCATCAGTAACTACGAAAATTATAATTATGCGGGTTTTATTTTTATTACACGATGTTATTCCTCCACCGTGGAAGTCAATCATGAACATTTGTTGAGTACGTCTTTCATTAGAAAAATTGGTACCCGCCTGCGGGATTCGAACACCGGTGCATCGCTCGATACGAATGCACCGGACGTCCTGTCCTTTAGGCCACGACGACTTAAGTGACGCGATGTGGATGAGTTTTGTAGACATGAAGCGGTACTCTTCGCTGGCGGAGTTCATCGGGTACGTGGAGGCGCGCGGCTGCCGGCTGCGAGCGTGCCGCGTGGTGCCCCTCGACCTCACGCTGCCGGTCACCGTGTTCAACGTCTGCGTCACCTACCTCATTGTCATGATACAGTTCGCGGACCTGTACTGAGCCTCAACGAGCGCCGCCTCATTCTCGACTCGTCTTAATATTTCAAGCTAATTTTGCAAATCAATATTGCTACTACAATAAATACATCCTGCGAATACTTTAGAGTTTCATTTTCGGAACCGCCTAGCTGCGTCCTGTGTCAAACACAGGGTCACCCAGCAAATTACCGCGGATGCCCCCGAGCCCCGAAAATAAATCGCCGCGTCGCCCGCCAAAACCGCCTCCGAGCTTCCGGCCCAGACATCAAAGCCTCGGCACCCTCTGTGTCGCAGGCTAAGCCAGCGTTCGTTCCGGCGCCGGTGCCCAGTGTCTCGGCCTGGGCGAAACCGCTGCCGTATATGAACACGGCTACAATTCCCTNTACTCTCGATCCAGGGCTTGTAGTGCTCGACGCGCGTGTAGCGGCCGGCGCGCCGGTCGCTACATCGACTCCACGCCCGATGACGTCACGCCGAATATTGTTCTCGTACAACGCACCTCACCCTCTTCAAAGATCAAGGGACCGCCGCTGTCACCCTGATTAAAAATACACTCTGAAAATTGGTGTAGGTACTCCCAAAAGATATCTTTCTCTCTTTTTTCAACAAATTTATATCTAACTACTTCTGTTGAAATAGATTCTCAGATTCAAATTCAATCACTGAAATAGGAAACCTATGGAAATGAAACGTCAACAAAAAATTCGTGCCACTGTGACGTCATCTGGCCACAAAGCATGGCGGTTTTAGTGCTGCCCAGAAGATTTTAATGTTAGTAGGTTTTATCGATAAACGTTCTTGGCTCATTTTATTTTAAATATTGTTGAGTATGAATGTATTTGTAGAATTTATACTTTAATAGGAAGTAAGTATATTGTTATGTGCAAAGATGATGTGATTTAGATATTATGTGAAATCTAAGACGAGTTCGTGCTTCAAATTTGCCAAGTAAACGATATGACGATTTTTAAAATTTGCTACACTGATTTTATAAAGTTGTCGTTTGCCGCAAAACATAAAGATATGGCGTAGTACAGTGCCATCTGCCCATTTCTAGCATGCTGAATGTTATCGTATTTTGAGTACGTGTTTTTCTTAGACTATTACAATCTATTTTAATTGTTTTGCTGACTCTAAAGTCCGTAACACACTACCGCAGCGCACCTCAAGGAAGGTGCGCCGCACCATTTGAATCACTCTCACTTGAGAGTGATTCAAATTTTAAACTTATCAAGGGACCGCCTGATAAAAAAAAACACCTACAGAACATTTATTCGTTAATAAAATTACAAACGTCATTCCTTGTGACTTCCTCTCTAAAATCACTTAATTATTAAATATTTAACGAGTTGACAATAGTGTTATAAAACTATTTTATTTAAATAGTTCCGACGACTTTCTTGAGATCCTATAAAATATGTTTTAATTATTATTTTTGTATGTTTTAAGCATGATAAAATAAGAAATTTTATATAAGCAATCATATTAAATCGATATCAAAGTCAATAAATAATGTACAACCCAAAACAGACGGCCGAACTGACGTGACAATGACATTTGGCGCGCTAAACATGGCGGATTTTCGGCCTCATTAGACGGAGACGGAGACATTTACGTATATTCATGTTTCATTTTATGTACGCACTGAAATACTGTTATATTGTTTTCCTGCGAGTTAAAGTGCTGAGTAAGAACGAGATAGATATATGTTTATGTGTGTGCCTTCAAAATGGGTGCTATTTATATAAGCAATTGTACGTATAGAACAATATGTCGTGTCCCTACTATATAGGTCTATGAATTCAATCCAAAATCATTTATTTCAACTTAAGATGTCAGTATGACACACTTGTTGAATGACAAAATATAAATAACAATGTTAACTGTACCACCGGTTCCAAAAAAAGCAACAGTCCTGAGAAGAACCGGCGAAACAAACTCAGTGGGCTTTTTTTTTTGTTTTGTTTTGTTGATGAGTTCGCTTCTGGCAGAACGGTGCAGCTGTCTAGTATAGCACGCCCTAGCTGTGTATGCGAAACCGAATAAACTTTAGCGTAGGGCCCAACCTTACCTAAGTTTATGATTTTCGTACTGAATAATTTTACATTGGGTATTTGCCATTTAAAGTCTGAGGCGAGATACGAAGGTAACCTGGCAAGTGTCGCGCGTCTTGTCGCGGTCTCCGTAGCACAGCTGCGTGCTGTTGTCGAACCCGTCGAGCAGGTGTCGGTGCGGAGGGTAGTGCGTCAAGCACTCCTCGGCAGTGAACTCGCTCACTTCAACCTAGTATAGAATGATTGACAAGATAAGTCCCACACTATTGTGGCGGGTAGCCACCACAGAACAAAAAACTAACTCGAGAAAGGCTGGACGATTTGGCTAATTTTGGTCTTGAATTATTTGTGGAAGTCCAGAGAAGGTTTAAAAAGTAGATAAATATGAAAAGGCTCGGAATAAAAAAAAATACAATTTTGTTTTTCCTTTCATGTGTCCCTCGTCAGACGGATTCCTTTTGTTTGTTTTAAGCTTCGAACTATTATTGATCGAAGGTTTTAAGTTTATTTTATACAAAAGTTTAGGTATTTTATTTATCGGTTGAGGCACCACGAAGTCTGCCGGGTCAGCTAGTCGAAAATAAATTAAATAAAAATTCAATTTTATTTACAAGATTCAAGTAAAGCTTAAAATTAGATATCACAAACAATATTATCAAATAATTCTAAAACTTTGATTGTGATCTGCGTCGAGCGTGACGCGACGTGGTCACGCGGCACACGAGCCGGTCTTCCTTAAGGAAAATCAACTTGTGCTGTTCACGAAACCAGTTATTATAAGTATTAGTAACGATATTTATTGTATTTGTTTATTTCTGTAGGTGGCAGATGAGCTCACGGAACATTACATAATTTCCACTCACGTTATCAAACGGCTTCTGTATCAAACTCACTCCTGGTACATAGTACGTATGTATTCTTCGTTTTTCTCATATACTTCTGTTCTGTATGTAATGAATCTAATTACCGGTTCGAAATTATGTGATTTGTAGTCCAAGATGAGAGATTCGCAGCGTTTGGCGAGCACGCACGTGCCATTGTGCTCGTGCCGGAGACACCAGGCCCCTGCGGCGCGGCGCGCACTCACACTCACTGTACACAGCGTAGGTATACAGAGAACAGAGGTCAGAGGCACGTAACAAATGTCATCGCAGCTAAAATAGAATAGTTGACAAACTCTTGAAGTTAAAGAATAAGATGAGAAATTAGTCCCACCAAGCCATATCTGGTATCGAGACTACCGTCTACGACCAAGTAACATCTCAGTATCAAATCGAAGAGTGAAAAGCTATTTTGTTTAAGGAATAAATCTTTGCAACTTTACCGGAGAGCCATTTAAAGTTTAAACGTGGAAAAAATATCAAATAACAAAGTAACTTTTTCAGTTATTTCAATGGGGTAAACATATTTAAAGTTCAATTAAAAGTATCCAACTGTTGATGCTAATACTAAATAAAACGCATATTTAATTACAAAGATAAATTGCGCGTATTAAGCGATCTAGCCTTTCACCTCTCGAAATAGTTTTCTTTCAAGTTTTTTGAGGACTGAGATCTGGATTCAATACCAAAAATAGTGCAGAAAAAATAAATATATTAGCGTTTGAATCGAAAATATACTATGTATAACTACATAATATATTATGGGTAAATGAAATATCACATTTCTGTGAATAAAAATATGAATTTTGTCAATGTTTGAATATCTTTCTATAGAACCAACTTACTCAATTTCATTATTCACAAACCATCGCCCTCCAGCAGCGTGGAGTAAGAAAGAAAATCAGGATAGCGTTGATGGTAGGGATCAACGCCATCCTGATTTTCTGAAAGACCTTTAGGCGTGTAGTCAAATAACCATAGTGCATAAGCTGTAATTCTAACCCACTTACACTGAAGATATTTCTTCGTGAACAATTTAAAATTGAGAGCAGAAAAAGTAGAAATCATAACATAAATTAATTTATTTATTATAAAAAAAAATAACACAATATTCCTAACCTAAAAGTACATGTTATTATCCGCAACATGCTTCGTCAGATTACAGAAATAAAGTTATCAGCAACATGCTTCGTCAAACATAAATAGTGTTGAGTGTTCCTACACCTACATTGAAGAATAAAAATGAAACGAATATTGTAGATTGCTTAATGACACCGTGAGCAAACGCGTAACTTTACTTATATTATACCAATAACACAGACTGTCTCACGTGTGAGGAACTAGCTGCTCGTTACATATACCTCAGTCTTGCCGGTCGTGTCTAGACAACAGCAGTATTGACGGAATGTAACAATGGAATATGTTTATCTTCGATATCATCAGCGACAAGACCACCGTGACCAGTGAGTAACACAACAGCACACGAGTGTGACGCGACAGATGTTGTCTGTGTGTACCACAGCTTTAGTTCTTGCTCTGAGATGGACACCTCTCGTATTGCGTGACAGGTCGAACACAGTTGCAATAATCTGAAAACACAACACAGCCGCCGAGCGGGAGGTCGCCCCGCGCGAGCTCCGGCAGACGAGTGGTAGCGGCGCGCTGTCGGTTCACTATCAAATGTCTTCTCAAGGTCAACAAAACAGAGATACATGCTACGACCCTGACCTCTGCTTTTTTTCTGCGATTGAAGCAATGAGAAAATTGCCTCACAAGTACCACGGTCCGGTCGGAAGTAGAACTGGGATTCTGGCAGAATATTTTCAAATAAATCCCTTTAACAGAACTCTAACTCTAATTCTCTTTTTATGTAGAGCCCGAATATCCGAATAACCTATAATTCTCCTCATCAAACCAGTCCTCACGTTTTCGGACTGTGAGGCCAAAAGTAGATGTAAAGGTTTCGATAATATGAGAAGATAGCGTCTCCCAGATTTTAGGTCGAGGAGCTGCAATGGAGCGCTCAAGGCTTCGGCATGTTTGCCCGCGTATCAATGTCTTGGAGTAATTCAAAATTCAATTCCGTCTTAAACTTTTCGATCTACATCGACGTCCAAGACGAAGACTCAAATTTGGGACAGCAAGTCTGTGATTTGTCTAACAGTGAGCACCACGCATGATACGGGTAGCTTGGACTTGAGAAAGATCTTTTTGACGCACGACAGTGTAATCGATAAGGTGCGAAGCTTCGATCTGGGGTGTATTCACGTTGTCTTGGCAATCTGGTCGTAGTGTTCGTAATTGCAATGTCTAATTGTGCGCAAAGGATCGACCCGTATGCTGGTAAATGATGGTAAATAAGTTACAGGGGGGTCAGTACTTGTTCACGCTTCCTTAATCGCCTTCTAAGATAGTTACGGGAAGATATGGGATGGTACTATTGTAGTTCGCCGCAACCATATGGCAAAAAAAGTATATAAGACAATAAGTAAACAATAGTTTATTACATAGTGTTAGTCACAGGTGTTCAAGGCCAGACAATGCTCTCGATCCAGGGCTTGTAGTGCTCGACGCGCGTGTAGAGGCCTGCAGTAGCTTCGTCACACTCCACGCCTGATGACGTCACGCCGAACAGTGCCTTCGCGCAGCCCACCTCACTTTGATGCAGGATCAAGGGTCCGCCGCTATCGCCCTGTCACAATACGTTATCATATGAGACAACTCAACTCTGATCCACTACGTTGTGGTACAGTACAAAGGTAACCTGGCAAGTATCGCGCGTCATCTTGCGGTCTCCGTAGCACAACTGCGTGCTGTTGTCGAACCCGTCGAGCATGTGTCGGTTCGAAGGGTAGCGTGTCGAACACTCCTCAGCGGTGAACTCGCTCACTTCAACCTAGTATAGAGTGAGTTGACCACATAAGTCTCACACTATTGTAGAGGGTAGCCATCACAGAACACAAGACATTTGACAGATGCCGAAATCTGCTTTACAATATTTTCAAGATAAGCTTACATATACTTATATTCTAAATTATACAAGTTTCTGTGTTACAAGATTTCGGACCGTCGGTCTACCGATCAATATCACCCTGTCGGTGGAAGATATTCCCTTTGTCTTAAAACCTCCCATAATATCATGACAGTTACAAGCGGACACAATTTGTCCACTGCATCACTTGTTTTCATTATTGTACATATTACAGAATGTAAATTTCATCGACACGTGAGTTTGAACGTTGAGGACACTCGAGCACCAAGCGCGACTAGTAGACCTCTCAAGGGCTACCGTTGTAAATGCCAGATATCTAATGCATGCTCACCACAGAGGACGTTTCATTAGTCTACACTATAACACAAAGCACGCCCCTATAGATATACCCACTGCAACCCTCACAGTTACCTTCTGTAGAACATCAGCTAATTGTGTATTTGGTCCGAGGTAACCCCAGCCCAGAGCCAGAGCTCGACTTGGATCGATGTTGCGTTTCTTCTCACCAGAATACAAGCACGCGGGAACCACGTTGACGTTGAATTGTATTCTACAAACGAAATAAAATTACAATCATCATAGGGTTTCTCTTTACTCCGTATACCGCACAGAGCGGTCTAAAATCTACTTGAATGAACTGTTTGAAAGAGGATATGCGAGAAAATAAAGGTGAGTTTACAGATGACGTAAGGACCACCCGTGCATAAGTTCAGGTAGAGGAAGAAGAACCATAGACTGCCCATGATAAACTCGTTGTCTAAGAGGTAGATACACAAGTGAATTGACATTAAATTGCTTACAGATTGGTGGAAACTAAAAAATATCTGGTCTTAGAAAAGTTCCTTTGTTGATTTCGATAGGTATGTATATTTACTAAACATTATGATGACACGTACTGTTTCTGGGTCTTGAGGAGCGCGATGTCGTGGTACTTGGAGGGCGAGGCGTAGTCGGGGTGCGGGATGACCTGGGCGAGGGTGTGCCGCTGCCAGATCTCTGGAGGGTCGGAGCGCTTCAGGATGCCGAGAGCTGCGTACTTCAAGGGTCCCCTGCGGACGACAGGGCGTGCTGTTTATTGGCGTCTAGTGTCTGTGTGTGCGTGTGCGTGGTAGCGTGGCGCCGGCGAGTGAACTGACAGGCGTGGCTCGGAGATGCAGTGCGCCGCCGTGAGGATGTACCGCGCGGAGATCACCGACCCGCCGCACAGCCACTGCGCCTCTTCCGCGCTCGGTCCGAACCCCAGCAGCGCCTGCAGCATACTTGCACATCAGTACGCGGGTCTTTCCGACACGTGCACTGCCCTTACGATCTCTGCGGTACATTACCATGAAGGGGAACTCCGCTCTTTCGGCGTCTTTACCGCCGGCCGGTGCTACCAACGACAAATTTATTTTGTGACATTTTTTTTTAACATCCCAGTATTTATCGAAGTCAAAAGTAGTGGAGCTTTGACATAAATATGATGGTATGTTCAAAACGTTGTCGATGCAAGCTGGAAGGAGAATATATAGTTAAATTATCTTGTTAATCTTGATCATTAAATTATATGTTTTGAAATCGTCGTAGCTTAAAGGATAAGACGCCTGGTGCCTTCGTATGTAACAATGCATTGAGGTTCGAATCTCGCAGGCGGGTACCAATTTTTTCCAATGAAATAATAATATGTACTTTTGAAATGTTCACGACTGTCTTCCACAGTGAAGGAATAACGTCGTGTAAAAAAATCAAAGCCGCAAAGTTATAATAGTTAGTAGTGGTAGGTCGTCTTGTGAGTCCGCACGGGTAGATACCACCTATTTTTGCCGTGAAGCAGTAATGCGTTTCGGTTTGAAGGGTAGAGCAGCCGTTGTACTGTTAAAAGTGAGACCTTACAACTTATGTCTCAAAGTGAGTGGCAGCATTTACGTTATAGATGTATTTGGACTCCGGTAATCTCTTAATACCAGGTGGGCCGTGAGCTCGACTACCCATTTAAGGAATAAAAAGTCATACTAATATAGCTTATGAAACAAAAACAGTAAATTCACGATTGACTTCCACGGTGAAGGAATAACATCGTGTAATAAAAATCAAACCCGCAAAATTATAATTTGCGTAATCACTGATGGTAGGACCTCTTGGGAGTCCGCACGGGTAGGTATCACTACCCCGCCTATTTCTGCCGTGAAGCAGTAATGCGTTTCGGTTCGAAGGGTGGGGTAGCCGTTGTAACTGTACTGAGACCTTAGAACTCATATCTCAAGGTGGGTGGCCCATTTACGTTGTAGATGTCTATGGGCTCCAGTAACCACTTAACACCAGGTGGGCTGTGAGCTCGTCCTACCATCTAAGCAATAAACCACCTTTAGAAGCTTGGAGAAACAAACACGAAACTGCGTACATACCGTCCCAAGACTTTTTGTTTATTTTTTCCAGTCGGCCGTATTTTTTGGTCAGATATATATTACTGAAAGTAAAAAAGAAATACAATTATTTAATGCCAGTGGGCAGTTGTTATCAACAGCTCGTGTTGAACTGCGGGAGGGTCAGAGCGACGCTAGTTTGGTTTGGTGATTCCGAGTTGTGGTTGGGTCGCGTATCTATAGCTTGGGGATACGAAGGGAGGACCTGGCGAGTGGAGTCACTCGGCAGACTGACGGTCTGCACGTTGTTGCCCGGAACTGGCTTAGCGTCAAGCTAATCCATTAAGGTTCGTCCCAAGACCTAGCCGGATTTGTTATATACCACCGCAATGTTAACCGTAATCATTTATGGATCACATTACATTTACTTTAACTATTTCTGCGCCGAAGTGCTCGTCGCCGCGTCGTATCGAGAGAAGCCTTTGTCCGCGAAGACACAACAATAGTTTATTGTAGCGGAGCTACGTGGAGTACGCGCCTTCAGGAACTACCTGGTTGTACAAATATAAATTGAATTCCTTCTGAAGGGTTTCAGTTCATTGCCACGCAACGGTTCTTCAAGATATCATCTATCTGTATCTGTACAATTAATTTGGAAAGAAATAACATTTTGAATATTTATTATTTTAATACTTTCTTTATATATATTATCGAGATATATTAACTCACTCGATGTTGTCCACGAGCTCACAGTCGGTGCAGCACACGATGGGCTCCTTGCCGCGAAGCCCGCACACCTGACGACACACACACACGCACACAAACGTCCATGAGGCTGTTCTATACCTCTCATCAGAACTACCAACAATCCACTCTGCATTAAGTTATGTACTTATGTGAACAGGCAAGATGGAGTAGTTGCAGTGAGTACCTAACGACGGGTTGACCGGAGCTGCGGAATCACCGGCTCGGCAATTGTTCATAGCCCTGGCAGGGCAACCGACAGCAAAAGTGGCAAGAACTACCTAAAGTTTAAGCTGGAGTCGTGCTAAGACCAGCGAATACGTGCTATGTCTCTAAAGATTCCGAAACTGATGATGATCCGACGTCATCTCCTGGCGTCGCTGGTATTTAATTGCTTGATTAAAGAACAGTGATACTGACCGGCGGGAAGGATCTATCCCTGTAGTCCAGGATGAGTGTCTCGCAGCGCTTGCTTAGCACGCACGTGCCGTTGTAGCCGTCGCGGACACACCGGGCCCCTGCAACACGACACGTGCTCTCACGATGG